CTCTACAAATAGCAACTTTTCTAGTTGCTTTGACAAATGCTGCATTTCTGGGTTTAAACCTCAAATTTGAGTTATTAAACGAATAATAATGCCGATGTAATGAGGCACCATTGTCGGTTGGTTGTATATTTTCATGACCTTAACAGCCGCTGGTCAGGCTGACAATGTTCCATACAAAATGCAGCACAGTTTTTGATTTGCTTTAGATTGTCAATGTCTGAAAATCTTTTGCCATTTGGGGTTGGATGAAGAATAATCATAGGAGTAGGATTAATTATAAGAATTTATTGAAGACAGATGTATGCGAGAAGTATCTTCGAACTAAATCTGTGAAATAAGAAAGAGAAATTTGGCGGAATTGTCACGAAATGAACAATTAGGACGTGGCTTAAAACAGAGGTAATCACGTGCTGTTAATGGTGGTGAAATTCGGCAGCTTCTAAAAATCGGCTGACTGAGACGGGAAGCGGGTTGTAATGAGCGGAGGGGGAAGGACAGGGGTGACGGTTGAGGTATAGGGGCAGGGGGCAGGAGGTGAAGGCCGAGAATGGTGACTTAGGTCTCGGGAGTCGAAGGGGGGGGGGAGGGGGAATTAGTGACTGGAAAGATGCAGAGATCTTGTTTGGAGATAAGAATTAAAAACATGGGTGAGGAGTGCCTCCATTAATTTTTTAATGATCACTGTGAAATGTAGTGCTGAGGAGAAGTCGCAGCCATTTTTGCTCAGTGCTGAGGAGGAGTCTCAGTATGCGCTCATTTTTGGGTTCGGGCTGAAGTTGCGAAAATTGTAGTACCGAGTTTTTTGCCTAATTAAGGTTCTAGGTATTCTGTTCAAAATTGCTAAATTCTCCTCGGCACTTAATTTCACGCTGAACATAAAAAAGCCTTACAGAGATATCCCACCCCCTCCCTCTCTTCCCATGAACCTCACCCTTGTTTCGATTTCCTTCCTTCAGCCACTGTCTCAGCTCCTTTCCAGTCGATTGGCCTTCCTTCCGTTCTTTTATGATCTCCGAAATCTAAACCACCCCTCCGTCACTCCTCTTTCCCCTCCGCCTCCAGACTTGTACTCTGTCATTCCCAGTCATTGCAATTTGCCTTCCGACCCCCCAAGTCGGACTAAGTTTCAGTAGTTT